GGTAATTAAATAATGTTTACATATGTATAAAAGCCTACATTAAAATCTGTCATATAAATTGGTCTCTTCATTAGAAATGATACTGATTGCCACCATTGATGGACAAAATTTTTTCATAATATTAAAAATATCTGTATGACATTATATTCTGCAGTTCTTCTCTGTTGTACCGAATATCTACACTTTTCAAATTATCATATCGAAGTTAGAAATTCAAATATTGTGACAAAATTAATTTTGTAGGGTGCCACAAGTTTGTTAAAATTTCCAAAGGGTGCCGCGACTAAAAAAAGGTTGGGAAACACTGCTTTATATTATTAAAATCTTCTTCACACTAAGAATTTTTTTTTTTTTATGAACAGTTCACTGAAAGGTTCTTTGGGGAACCAAAAATGGTTCTTCTGTAGCATCACTGTGAAAACCCTCTTTTTGTATGAAAATGGGTTTAAATTATGTAATTTTGGCACTTTACATATTATATTCAGTTCATTATAATTAACCACACAAAAATCAATATTTAACATATTATACAAAAACAGTGGACATGCTGAAACCAATTTCCATGTGCAAGATGAATTAAACGCTACATATTAATTCACAAAAACAGTAAGTCGATTAAAAAAACCTCTTCACAAAGCTGAGCATTGTTACTGTAATCTGTATCGTTACAGATTCATTATTTTACAGAATTTATATCCAGCCAAATAAAAACTTTAGATGCAACTAGCCACTTTTTTTCAGTTGGAGAGACCTTGGTTTTCTTCATAATATGTTCCAAAATATATTATGTCTTGAAATGTGTCCAAGTCACAAAATTTCTCCTACAACTGAAAAACATCGCACCTTACAGCTGCATACATCATTTTAGGATAATGATACAATATAATCTCCCCTTCTTTTAATGAAAGATAAATGCTCAATATGGATGAAGCAAGAATGAAGCGGACTGGAGCCTAATGAGCAATTCACCCTGAGGGCTTTGAGGAAATGGGAAACCGATGGAGAGAGAAAGAGAGGGAGAGAGCTTTTTATAAGTGTTAAGATGCCAACCTTGAGTACACAAATTACTACTAGTAGAAATTACAAACAACAACAACAACAACATAACACCATACATGAATATGTAATTCAAAATAATGAATAATCTGGACATATTTAGGAACACGGCTTTGTGTGTTTGTTTGTGTGTGTGTGTATATGAGATGCAGGGTAGGATGTTGTGTTGGGAGTGTGTGTATGTGTGTGTTGAGTATGTGTGACAGGTCAAGAGTGTGTTTTGCAACTGTAATAACTGCACCCCAAGCTGAGATATTTGGGATGGCTGGAGACGGGTTGTCATGGTAACTAGTAAATAGATGGAGAGTGTGTTTAGACTAAACCTCAAACTTTGTCCCAACTTGTTTACACCCTCCCTTCACACACTCACTCCATCATTCCACTTTTTCTCTCTCTATCCACTGTTTTGTTTTCCAGACTCTCATTAACAATGTTCAAATCAATCTGACCGACAAACGGGGAAGAAAGAGGTAGGAAAGAAAGAGAGAGGAGCAAAGGAGAAGAAAATTGCACAATGCACAAATGTTATCAAGCTATTAACTGTGCAAGAAAAAGACTATGTAAGGGATGTGTGCTTTCTCTTTAGTCAACACACACATGCTCATATCATCAGGGAGACGTATATTTCTCCTTAATGGCACATGAATGAACACATCTGTATAACAACCACATTCCCGAGGGTCCATGGGGCCAGTAGGCAAGCAGTCTTAAAAAACATCTGGGTTAGTGAGGATGCACACAGAGAAACATGGTGTCCTTCTTTTGGATGGATAGATGATTAAGTGATACACAGAAAAATATCATTTTCTTAATCAATATTTTTGTATTTTTTCAATAACAGTATATAGTGTACAAATAACATAAAAGAAACAAGTAATAATTTATTGTTTTGAGCAAAAACCTAACAAAATATAGTGAGGTTTATATTTAAAACGTGAAAAAAATGCGATATAAAATAAAAAATATCTAAAATATTTGTTTAGATATTAAGAAAAATCAACAGTTAAAAGTTAATCCTAAATGATTAAATTTAAATGTAAAAGATATACTTTGAAAACAAGTCTTAATTTTGTAAATAAAAATATACTGAATCAGTTCCATTTATTTGATCAAAAATACAGTACATTTACATTTATTCATTTGGCAGATGCTTTTATCCAAAGCGACTTACAGTTGAGGAATACAACAAGCGATGTATCATAAGATGGCAATAAACACGAGAAGTGCCCATTATTCAAGGTTTACAGTAATACTGTAAAAACAGCAATACTGTGAAATATTATTACATTTTTAATAAAAAATATAATTTATAAATTGTAAAATTAAAAAATTACTTTTTTCTATTGAAATATATTTTCAAAAGTCATTTATTTATTGTGATGGCAATGCAAAATTTTCAGCAGCCATTACTCCAGTTTTCAGTGTCACATGATTTTTCAGAAATCTAATTCAGCTTAATATTTTTGTGGATACAGTAATACCTTTTTTCAGCATTCTTTGTTGAATAGAATCTTTTGTAACATTATAAATGTCTTTACAGTTACTTTTGATCTATTTCATTGCTGAATAAAAGTATTAATTGCATTAATTTCTTAAAAAAAAAAAAACATTCTGACCCCAAACTTTTGAACGCATTTATGCACTCTTCTCTTGTTTCATTATTGAAAAAACCTCCTAATTCAACTGAATATCCTTCAGTTTCAGCATCCTATTTTGGTTGAACAGGATCAAGAGATGTGTGTGTGTGATGCATCTGCAGGTGTTTCATACAGGACCTGAAGTCTCAGCAAACTGACAGTGCTACTAAATATCTGCCTATTAAAGGGCAAACCGATATGCTGTCTTACCCTTTTCTCACCCCTCTAAAATCCTCCTTCCTCTGTCTTGCTCATTTATGTTAATGCACTGAAGGATTCAAGCTCTCACTGAAAGCTAAGACCCAAAACATATGCAAGAACGCAAGAATACAAACTCTACATAAGCATATAAACAAAAGCCCAATTTTATGTGTTGACAAATACATCAGAATCTAATTCATAATGCAACAAAGCAAGTATTGCATTTTCAGAGTTGCCACAAGTTTTTTTTTTCTCTTTTATGTCAGTTTCTGTCATGGTGGCTGTATAAGGGTAATTGCTTGAAATGAAGATTGCTGAGCAAGTTAGTAACATTTAGACTAATAGTTAGTCTGTTGACAGGTTTGCTATCTGAATGATAACATATCTGGTTTAATGGCACAGACATTTGAAGGAAACTCTATTGCTCCCTCGAGTACTGAGGTTTGTTATCGTCACTGTAATGCAAGAAAGCACATTATACACCATATGTCCATAACATAAGTATGTACCACACAATTGCAAAGCATGGGCCAACAATTCATTGTCATCGTACTACTACTGAGTACTGTATGTTTCATTCATTCATTTTCGAATCAAACTGTGCATATTACATCATATCAATAGAGTTTGTGCGACATGGCTCTTACGTTTGTGTCAGTCACCATTGGGTTTCCCAGGTCACAAACCACAACTCTGGTATCATTGTCTGTCCTGTGCTCACAGTTCAGCCGCTGAAGATCCTGAGACAGAGAGAAAAAAGCCTTAAGTTCTTCATTATTTAATGTATAATAACTGCTGTGTTGAACAACATGCTGAATGTCTAAGGAACACAAACAGAAGCATAATGCACCTTCAGAACTTAAAAAAAAAAATTTGAATAATTATTTTAAATATTGAATAAATGTTTTATATTAAAACAGTAGTTAAATCTTTAAAAATTAAATTGCATGTTATTGTGTATCTGCATACAAATAAAAAATTGTACCATTAGACTAACAAATCTTACAATCATATACATTACTTCTAAACTGTAAAAATAAATAAATAAAGTAAAATAAAACAAAAACAATAAAATCGGTGCATGACATCACTGAAAACAAAACTGGGCAATAATAAACCCGGTCAATAACTAACAAAATCCAATAAAAACAGGTCTCTGGAGAGTCAAGGGAGGGACGGAGGATAGGAAACAAGAGAGAGAAAGTACATGATGAATTATCTGATAGTAATCACATCATACATCACTGAGGACCTCCCCCTGTCATCTCGTCAACCCCCTTCATCAGTCTCTCTTTTCCTCCATCTCCCTCCTCTGGCAACCACTTCCTCTCACCAAAACAGAGTCAAACCGTAACCAGTCTGTTCCCAAAAGAGCAGCTAATGTAGTTGTGCAAATTGCATTAAGAGCCACTCTCAAACACATGCTGCAATTACCAGCTATACACTGAATTCTGTTAAAATCATAACTGACAGACATAGAGCAATCAGATCTTTTGCGGTCAGTGCCAGAGAGCGCCAGCGTCTCATGCGGGAAGAGGCAGAGATGCATGAACGGGATGATGGAATGACAGCAGAAGATATGAATGAAGATAAGTGAATGCAGGACTGTATGAAATGAAATAAACAGTCCGTTAGATCTCAGCAATGCATTACTGAGAAAACCTAGACATGACGCATGTTTTAGGCTACGTTTAATAAGAAACCTTACCCATAATTAGATCAACATTCACTGCATTCCTGCCTCATTACTACATCAAAGACACTGCAGCGCTCATGTTTGTGTTTTTAACTCTGGGTCAGAATGGATTACAGATTTAGCATTTTGCCATGATGGATTTAAAGCTATTTAGTAAATATGATATTTCACAAGACCTGAGCTCAGATAGATAGATAGATAGATAGACCTATATTGCATCTAACATTCACATTAAACATGTAAAATATTTATACACTGTAATAAGCAAAATAAACTCATGCATGAGCTGTTTTCTGGAAGAAGAGAATACAGCGAGTGAGTAATAATCTAAACACAGCAATGAGAGAGTCTGAGACTAGGGTTGTGACGGTGAGGATATATTCCCACCGGTTAATCGACGTGTGACAACACCTGTATTCAAATGGCTTGTAAAAGTGCGTATTTTACTTTCACTTTCAAATGAGCAGCAATTGAATTGCCGCAATTTGGCGTCAAGCAATTGTTCGTTTTTCAAATTAGCAGCAATTGAATTGCCTCAATTCGGTGTCAAGCAATTGTTCATTTGAGTTTTCCCTCTTTTCCTTCGATTTCTTGGCTTTCAAATAGCTTGAAAAAGCATTGTGCGCGTTTTACTTTCAGTTTCAGATTAGCGGCAATTCTGCTTTGATTCAATTCAAGCAACAACAACGTCAAACTCTGAACTTTTATTAACAAAACGAATAAAAATACACCATATATGCCTAATAAAATAACAAATTACTTAGGCTACACAAAGTTTAAATAGGAATATAAAACTGAAAATCAGCAAACACTGTGGAACCAAATAAATAAGAAACATAGAACGTTCACTAGCAAAACGAATAAGAAAGCTTGGAGGCACGGCATATACACACCTTGATGTAAAATAAAATACACAAAGTTTAAATAAAGTAATCAGCAAACATGGTGGAACCAAATAAATAAGAAATGAATGTTTAAAAAAAACTTCCAGTCAATAGGCTTTTCAAAATCTAAAATATTGCCAAACAGGCGCCTTTGCATTTCCTTTCTAAACAATCTTCTGCCATCGTCTTGTCTTTCTCACCTCACTCTTGTCAGTCAGCTCGACTCACTCTCCTCACGTGATAAATAAAATCTGACTCCTGCTCCATGGTGCAGGGTCGTTCACGCACGGTTCGACACGCTGCATTGAGCGTTTCGTTTTTAAAAGTGCCTGTCCTCTAACTGAACTAGGCTAAATGATTTTTGTTACTATAAATAAATCAAAACGACGGTGGGGGGCGGTGCCACGGTAGGCAAATGACGTAACCGTTGTTGCGGCTTAACACCGGTATAACCGAAAACACCGTCTATCGCGGCAAGCCTCTCTGAGACTAAAATAAACCTTCTATAATCATATAAACTATAAATGAAAGACATCATACAAAGGACTTTTACTAAATACACTATTTATTAACTTCTACATCCAATCTCCCACCCAAACCCACATAAATACACCCATGAACCACTTTTACACAGTTGGGCCAGTGCGAGCTAGGGCTAACAACAGGCCAGGCAGAGCCAATAGCCTTGAACCTTGAGCTGCAAGGCCAAAATCAAGCTGTGTTTCCACTGTCAGGCCAGTAGCCCTGCAGAGCTACTCTAAAACCCGCCCTTAACATGCCTCTCTGGAACAAACATCACACAACACCACCGTTTTACCAGAGTTAAGCGCGTATACATACAGTATATGTACAGTCAAAAAGGATAGTGGGTAATGTTGTTTACCTCACGTCTGCGCTCCACACCAATATAGTCCGCCTCTGGTGGGAGGGTCACATGAAGCTCCGCCTCATATGCCCCCTCACCCTCATTGGCTGCATTAATGATCAACATAAGCAAGTTGTCATCCCCGATTATAAGTTCAGTCCGGTCCCTATAAAAAAAAAAATTAATCAGACCTGTATTTAAAATAACTTCTTATATGAGGCCAAAATCAAAGAATGACTTGCTATAAAACACAAACAACTGATACATGTTAGAACACTGCAAACAAAACAAATACACAAACAATTGGCCAATGGCACACACATGTACTGTATGCATCAGACCCACTGACTCACATTTTAGCAGAAAGTTTGAGATCTGGGATGCACATGTTGTCTTCCCCACAGTCCAACAGGATGTTTGCCTAAGGGAGAGGAAAAAAATATCTTCTCTTCCCGTTTTTTCAGTTTGTTTGTTCATCGAATTTAACTATGTATTACTTTTTCTCTAGTTAACCGTTTATATCACTCAACAAGATGCTGTCATGTTTTTTATAAGAAAAAAAAGAAAACACTTCTTCTAAACCCTGCATGTCATGATGTCCTTATTGAATTATTTAACTTGCACATGAATGCACACATGCAGCTTCTCACAAACAATGGTAAACATTCCTGTTGCATGCAGACCTGCTCATGGTGGAAGGTCTTGCTGTAGTGGTCCAAAATGGGCCGCAGCTGGAGGCCAGGTGGAGGGGAGTTCTGGTCCAGACTGTAGTTCAGTGTCACGCTGATAGGACTCAGCTTATCTCTGAATTCTCCCTCATCCTACACACATAGCAAGAAAAAAAAGAAAGAGAGGTGGATAGCAAACAACTGAATTACTCTTCCTCTCATCCTAGTTTCACTTTACTTATTCTTCTACTTCACTTGTTTGATTATCTTTGTCCTTTGACATCAATCTGTTTCCTTTAAATAACAGAAAAATCACAGCTGCTGTATTAGCATGCTTGCCTCAGAAAGCCAAGGGCAATAAATACAATTATTGAATAAGTTACAAGGATTTGAGAAAATGAGAATGTATGTTTATGTTTCTGAACAGAAATGCACAAGGATTTGTTAAAGAAAAGCTTATGAACACAAAAGCTGCAAGGCTGTTATAGTGTGAGGCTGCTGCATAAAAACACACACATTATTTGCACAAATCCAAATTGTTACAAACACAAATATTTTCTCAAATTTTTTGTGAACTGCTATTCATGCCTATGTTTTTTTAATTGTGACCTTAATGTATAATAAAATGTAATGCAAAAATAAATATATAATATAATATACTATACTTTTGTATTTAATAATAATTAATCATTGTATACAAATGCATACTACTACTAATAATAACAAACATTTTACGTATTCATAATTATCTAATTTCTGTTCTTAAGTTTTAGGGTGTTTATGCTTTACATAAATTTGTGATAATATAAAATATAATACAAAAATTAATTTTAATTTAATTTAATTTTAAATTTAATAATAATAATAACTATATATCAGTATATATACAATAATAACCAATTTATTATTCTTATTTAACAATTTCCTGTTTCTAATTTCTGTTCTTATGTTGTTGGATGTTTGTTGGATACATCTGCCATATATCATAGCGATAGGTCAAATTGCCTGAGATTTTATCAGTCAAATTGAGCTGGCAAATAAAAGTATTTCCCATGGCCTGTGTTATCATATAAACACCCAGAAACACTTAAGACTGTGTTTAATTCCTGTGTCACCTCGGCCCAGCAGAATTTTTGGTCTCATTTTTGAGACACACTCTCATGGAGGGGTTCTCACATTGCTTATTCCATCCAGATGAGCCGTGTTGTACTAGGAGCTTGGTTTGGCTCACAATTAACTTTCCCATGGGTTCAGTTGTAGTGAACATAAAACAAGAATTTATCATGAAGAATGAGGCCAGTTCAGCTATATTCTGTGCTGCGTGTGGACTATAAGCCTCACCCGCAGGTAAACCGAGTAGTTGTGGCAATGTTGGCGGTCCCGTTGACCCAGAACCAACTGTTGGGTTCTCTGGTGCTGGTGAGAGTCCATGAACAAGATCCTCTTAACTGCTCCACGCTGCTTCAGCCAATCCAGCTGCAGGTCCATTCTTAGAGCTATAAGAGAGAGAGACAAGCATGCTATTGTTAGCTCCAACTTTACAGACTTTAATTCATGCCATTTCTGCTCAGGAATTAAACAGGTTTTGGGCCGTAAAAATGGCACGTACCTAAGGTTAATGACCAGGGCTTCTGAACAACAATCAAATAGTGCTTCCATCAAATTTGTGCCTCACACACACTCTCACGGGCACAGGAACGCACACAGCCACACCTGTTCTTTGTCATCTCCAAAACCATATGCACTGATTTTTAACAGGCCTGCATTCAGAAGTGCTGGGAAAGAGGCTTTTATTGCCTGTTGTTTTAACTGAGTTTGGCACCTTTGCCATTTTGGCCATTACTGAAGCCACTTACATACAGATGTTCAACGAGTGCTGAGACACACAAACTCACACTGAGCAAAACACATAAAAGTGAAAACAATAAAATATCTCTTTGTCAGCAAGCACCATGGGACACTGTGTGATGGATGATGAAATCACTTGTTTTCATTATTAGCCTGTGCAATAGAGTGCAACATTAGAATTATACAAGTCTCATTCGTTTTTCCACAGAGAAATTGACTCATGGTAGGGATGCTCCAATCAGGATTTTTGCAGTCGATACGGAGTACCGATTTCTTGTCATGGTGATCGGCCAATACTGATGCCGATTCTGATGCTTCAAGCTTTATATAGACGGCTTCATCG